ATATTGCTCTGGTATCTCATCTTCTCTATTATTATTTTAATCTTCCTATTGTTATTGCTGCCTATAAATAGCCCATAAATAAATTTTTGTCTTTTTAATTCAGTCTGTCTTTTATTGTCCAAGGTAACTCATCCCCATTTCTTGGGACTAGTCATAGTTCAACTGATTTGTCATCTTAAGTTTTGAATACATCATGTTTTCTTGTTTCTTTTTCTTCTTTTTTACGTTTCCTTGAATTGATCAAGTGTTTTTCAGTCTTTTCCCCCCTAATGTTTTAAATTATGCTTCCTATCTCAGTTCTTCAACTGGCTATCTGTAGGTTTCACACAAATATAGGACTTAATTTTCTGTTAACCTATTGGGTTCTTGGAAAAGTCATGACACATTTTTGCAATGAAAAACATAGAAAAAATATGTCATGACTTTACAGACAACCCAATATTTTACCTTGCATCTCCTGAAATATAACAAGGAGTTTTATTTCTGTTTCTCAGATCCCCTCTTCACTCCTCAACCCCACTACCTCCCACCTCTCATGTTGAGATCATCTGAATCTTAATTTTTAAATTAATTCTCATTTAAGCTTAAATCATGTTTTACTCTTTTTTTTTTCCTTTTTGGCATCACTGCTACTCATATCCTACATTTTCTTTTCAAATTCATCTTTTAAATTTTTTTGGAGTGGAACTTGTAGACATCCTTTTAGGTTAAAATGTGCAGATAGTAAACTTAGAGGCCTTTCTCATGCGTTTTGCTATCACACTTGAGTAACAGTTTGTGTGAATACATGTTTTAGTTCATCATTTTTTTAAATTTCACAACTTCAAATATTGCGCTGTGCCTTCTTGTAGGACCAAAGAAAACCCTAAACACAGTCAAATTCTCATTCCACTAAGTGAATTATATTTCTTTTAACTCACAAAGTTTTAAGAACACTTTCTTTTGTCCTTGATCTTCTATAATGTTGCCACAATGTGGAGGTGAAGGTTCTTAAAGGGCCCTCTCAATCTGCATGATTTCTTTTTTCAGATCTACATTCTTCTTTTCTTATATCTTTGAGTACTTCTTCCCTGCCCCTCAGAGCTCTGTTCCTGAAATTCTCCTTGGTAAACATTGGATCTTCTTAAACTGCTTTGCATAGCTCTTAACATTTTAAGTCCTTTCTCTCTATCTTTTTATTCTGTTTTTTAGAATTCTGCAGTGCAATCTTCCAGCTGACTTTTCATCTGTTTTCATTCTGCTACTCAATTTACTGAACTTTTGTAGTAACTAAGTTTACTTCCAGGAACTCTAAATAAATGTTTAATAATTCCTGTTCTTATTTTATATTGTTCATGTCTCTTGTTTGACCTATTAACTCTGTTGTGGTTGATTTCTTTCTTTCAAGGGGTTATTTCCTTCCAACTTTTGGTAATCCAGGTTATATGTTTATCTCTATATTTGAGATTCCTCATAAGACTATCTATGAATGCTGTTTTGCAGATACCACAGCCTGCCTTGGCAATTTAAGAGTGGGAGGGGCCAGATAAGCTTCCAGGCAAGGGTACTACTAACTTGTAAACATTCAGTGGGAACTCTCTACCTCTTTGATAATGGCTGTCACCTGAAACACTGCCATGCCTCTGTGACTCAAGCAGACACACCTACTGCTCCATCCTGGGGGCAAAATCCTCTGTCACTCACCGCCTGGCACAAGTCAGGGACAGGAAGACACACACCTAGCTGGCTGCTCCTACTGCAGCTCTACTCAAACCTGCCACCATGCTGGTTGCCTGCCTCATATTCTTCCTGCTTCCTCAATTTTCCACCTCCAAGCTTAAGGAACACTGGCACTCTCAACTTTATGTGCCACCCAAAACTTTATCTTAAGTAATCCTTGGCCCACCAAGTTTACATGTGCAAAATAAAGAAATGGATACAAATGACCCCCAGTATTTTTTATTTCTACTTAGAAGGAGTAGTGGTTAAAAACCCACTGTGTAATACTCAGCCAAACTGCCTGGTTCAAATCCTAGTTCAACCATGTGCTACCTGAGTGACCTTACACAAAGTACTTTATCTCTCTGTGCCTCAGTTTTCTCATTTGTTAAGTGTGCATAATAATAATAACCTGCCTCTCAGGATGATTGAGAGGATTAAATGGTCTAGCTCATATAAAGGTCTTTGATCAATACCAGTTCACAGTAAATACTTAATAAATATTAGGTATCATTATTGTTCCAATTCAGAGATTTCATGGCTGCAATCTTATTCTGGATATTGAAACTACCCCATTCCTGGACCCATAAAAAATAAAAATCAGTACTAAAGAGAAGAGTCTTGCTGGTGTGAAAAGAAAGAACAATCAAGAGCTCCTAATTTGGAGCCTAACTCCCAGTGTCCCAGACCTACACTTCCATCCAGTGTAGGTCTGCTGGGCTGTTAGAATGAACTGCTCCCTGTATGGCCTGACACTCTGACACGCCAAACAGAGAGAGTAGATGACATATGCAAACCCAAACATTGCCACCAGGGCACTTTCTGTCCTTTTCCTACCGAAAATGCTTTACTCGCGATGACTAACATGCTTGGGGTGGAGAGTGCCTATACCTGTCCTCACCTTCCTCTGAGTCATGCTTGGGAGTTTCCTTCGGTCTTTCCATGGCTACAGGAAGAAAACAAACTGATCAGAATGACAGAGGCTAGGAAATAGTAGCAAGTACTAAAACAGAAATGTGGGTGTCCAGAATTTAGATTGGCAGGCATCTTGTGCTTCTGAACTCAGGGGAAGGCAGTAGTGGGAGGAAAACAAGGCAGATTGACACACGGGTGATATGACACAGGTGTCCCCTTGACTAGGCCTTTCCGTCCAGCCCCCATTAACTTCTACTCAGCAGATATTTCTTCTGTATTCTGATGACTCATTGGCTATCCCTTAGGTTTTAGGATTGTTGTGAGTTTTCATCTTTTGTGTATGCCTCCACATGTAATTATGGAAGAAAGTTGAGAGAATTTATCTGGCACAAGATCTATCTTTCCTACGCAACTGAGATGAATTGCTAGTTTTATATAGATTATGTATTTGTCTATTTTTGGATGAAAAAATGTTTAAGTTAGATTTATATCTCAAAAAAGTCAGGTAGCAACACATTGTACATATTTTAATGACAAAAGTGCTTTATTTGCTAAGAAACATTTTAATCAACCCAAGATTCATACAGAATGTGTTTACTGATTTACAGAAAGATTTAAGAATCTCATGCTTTCTCATTTACAAATAGATACAGTTCCCCTCCCTCCTCCTGCCCCCGTAATTAAAATTCTGAGAAAACCCAATACAAACGAGAAGATTTGTTCATCAAGGAAAAGAATAAGAACATAAAACAATACTGGACAATGCCACACCTTGACATAGGTCATGGTTATCCAGCTCAGCATCTGGCAGTAATGCCAGGTCAGCATCATATCCGCCCTTAAAACGTCAACCCCAAAAGGAACCACAGGAGATACTAAGGATTTGCTTATCTGAGATACATTTGACCCGTGGGACATGCACTCTGGGTGAAGGACTTGGAAGAGCTACCTCAAACTGCCTCGCATTACCAATGGGAAATTCTTTCGTTCCATAACCAAGCCTGTGTAAAGAACATGGAGCTTGTCTCTCACAGCACAGAGAAATCACCACTGAAGAGGAGAACTGGGGGGAGAGGGACAGCATGACAGCAGGTGAAGAACCCACAGTCTTCTGCAAAGACTGCTACCACCACATGTAACCAACCAGCACAGTGGCAACTGGGCGAGGGATGGTCATCAGTCAGAGAGAGGAAGCAGAACCAAACCAAGACCAGAAATTCGCCTCCACAGAAGGAAGACTGGCCAATTTATTGAGATGGGCATGTCAGTGGTCATTCCAGAGCGTTCGGCTAAGGTAGAGATCAAGACCTCAGACAGATGTATCAAAGAACAAAGGTCCTGGAGTCTTGGAGTCCTGGAGTCTTAAACACTCAGGCATTGGGCTTTAGTAGATTAGAGCCTGATATGAGGCCAGCGGCCTTCCTGACAAGGGTTTCCACATGCATCATGCCCAGGCCCAAGCCTGCTCTTGGAATGTGACTGGACATGAGGCCTCTGGGAGGATAAACAGGTTCGTGTGGGCAAAGTACAGAGAGGGGCATGTGGAGCCCAGTGTCCCACAGTGAGGACAGTGCTCCCCTCCCCCATATCAACATGCTGGGTATTTCGGAATAACTAACCACAGATGACAGTTCTCTGAGGAAGGGAAGGGAAGGGGCTGAAGAACAGACAGAGGGAAGTGCTTCATGATGATGACCTATGAGACTCAACAAGGAAAACTAAGATTAACCTCTTTTAAATTCACTTGTCACTCTCCTGGGTCAATGTCAAATACACAAGACAAATTCTTCTGTTCTGTGCAAATCGAATGCTGGTTCCTGCAGTTTTACATCTTTGAGCTCTCACTGAAGTCTACCCTCAAGCCCTGCTTTCTCCCAAGTGAGAAGCACCACACAGGACATCGTCCACGCAGCAGAAGATGTATGAGGGAGAAGCATCCTGCCCAGTGATGGATGCACCGCAATTTTAACTGCTGTAGAAACAGAGCTGAGTTTGCAAAACACATTCCATTTAAACATTTTTGTCTTGTCACCCATGTTAAAGTGGTTTCTGAGTTTGCCATCTCCTAGAAGTGGTCTAACGATTCGCACTTTCAGGAGTCTCTCATAAGGAAGTAGGTAACTTAAAGTCATTATCATTCTCAATTATGGTGACCTTTCAATGTATGTGCTTGAAAGCTTTGGGTGGTGAAAGATTAGGAAGGGAGCAAGCACCCGTCAATGCTAGATGGACTTAGATAAAAATCAGCTATGGGGTGAGAGGAAGAGCGGGACAAACACAGGCCGATGTCAGGAGGAAGGGAGCATAGAGCCATGCTGCAATTCGGTCGACTTTAGATATTAGCAAAAATGCAAATGCCCATGTTATCCCAGGGCAAGGCTGCAATTTTCAGCTCCCAGGTACTGGACAGTGTGCTCCTTTCAAGGAGAGCAGACCCTGGCATAGAATAAAATGGTTTGGGTTTTGTTGTGTCTAATGTAAAAGAGAAAAGGGTGATCAGCATTAAATGTCTCCCTGGATGGCGCAGACAATCCCATGCCAACAGCCCCACTGGCTCCAACGGCCTGTGTGCCATTTTCATCCACCTCCACAAAAGTTTTATGGACAACTTTTGACAGGTGCAAATTGGGGTTTGGAGAGATCCCAGTAAGATCAGCCTTCTTTGCATCGAAGATATCTGTGATGCCCATGTCTTGAAGAATTGGAACGAGATCGTAGCTGTCTTCCAGGGTGAACTGGGGGAAGGAGATGGCTACTGTTTTTTCTGACATCATTTCTGAGCTGCTCCAGGCCACTATTTTTTCATAGGTGACATTTCTTTCAAGCTATAGGAGGAATAAAATAAAATTTAGGGTCAGATTCTGAGCCTGCAAAGAATGCCCCAATTACCTCACAGGGCCCAAGTCTATTTCAACAGTCAGTAAAGATCTTCAGGTTTTTTCCCGATGCCTCAAAATACTCTGATTTCATTTAAAGCTTGTCCAAGCACATCTCTTTCCTCTTTACAGGAAGATTTGAGTTCCAGTGTTCTCTGGGATCTGACAGACTAGTGTCAACCAGCCTAACAAAAGCTCAGTTGATTAGGTTGGGTGAGCTTGACCAAGCCTTAACATTCTGAAGTTCAACCTTTTCTTCTATAAAAAAGAGATAAGATTGCTGTGGCTATTTGGGGTATTTGTACACCTGAAGCTGAATAATAATGAATGTCAACTATAATTTAATATATATACATAGTCACAGGATGTAGAGGACAGCATAGGGAATAGAGTCAGTGGAATTGTAACAGCTTATACGATGTCAGAGGGTTAGTAGATTGGGGGAGGGAGGTTATCACTTTGTGAGGGGTGTAAATGTCTAACTATTACATTGTTTTGTACACCTGAAACTAATACAATAAATAAATAAAACTAAAAGGATGCCAAGGACACAGGAAAAAAAAGAGATAATACTATTAGGCTCTTGCAAGAATTAAACAAAATAATGCATTTAAAGTACTTATGCAGGCACATAATAAATTGTGAATAATTGCTATTATTGTAATTACTATACTGGTGTTTCTTTCTCCGTCTCTTTACCCCTCAGGACAACACGAGCTGAGCTTTCCCAACCTTTATTAACTCCCACCTCCCAAGAAATCTATTCCAGTATCAGCATCTCCTCTGCTGTCCAGGCACAGGCCCCAAAGTGGGATTCAGCTAAAGAGACTTTAACTGACCTACAGCAAAATAGTCTGAATAAGAAACCAGCCGTCAGGATATTCAGGGAAAAGGAAACACTGTTTCATTTGTAGCAATTCTCAAGTTATTCACCATCCAGATTCCTTGGTCTGGAAAAATAGGATTGCAGAGAACAATGAGGTTAGAGAGGAAAGCCCAAGCCCACGTTTTTGGCATGTGTTTGCTTCTAAACAAGTGAGGAATAAATAGAGCTCATCAAATTCAGACTCGTATGTTCTTCGGTATCTCTGACAGCTCAGGTGTCATCCTGCCTCAGGATGGTAGATGGTAGATCGTGCTGGTCTCCAGAGATCTATACTGACACATTTTATGAAGACAGGAAATGAAGATTTACCTCCTCCAGGCCCTTCAGGTTATCTGCGGACCGAGATGGCAGCAGGACCAGCATGCTGAGCTTCTCCGTGGTATACGGTATCTCAAGGATCTGTGCCTTCAGCTCCTCTATGAAGCCGATTCTAAACAGACCCTCTTGATGCATCATCTTCACGGTCTTCTTTTCATTCTGTAGAAAGTCACAGGACGGCCATATAAGCTGACAAAGTCACATGATCCCCAACTTCCCTGAAAACAGGGGCCTGTTAGGATGAGCGGGGCCTTTGTTGGAAGTTCTGAGCCACGCCAGTGACCCAGCCTTAGAGAGTCCTCTGCCCATTCATCAGTTGGCTCTTTCTTTGGAACACTTTCTCTTTCTGTGGTTTTAATGGGTTCCTCAGCTCCCAAGACCATTGGCTGGGCGACTGTCTATCCAGGCATCTACCCGCAGCCTCGCCACCAGAAGCAAGCCCTGCAGCTCTCTATCTTCCATGCTTCGTCCACCCCACTCCCATGGCCTCACACGACCCCCTACCCCTGCTGAACTGAATGGTACCACCACAGGGCCAGTGGGAGCCTTGGCTCAATGATAGTCATCTACATAGTAAATAACAACTCCTGTTCCACAGGCTTCCATCAGAGGAAAGGGCACGGCCCCGGACACCTTAAACCTCATAAAATCTCACAGTACGTGGGGAGGCCATCAATCTACAGATGAGGACGTGAATCTCTTGAGAGAGTAACACAATGAACAAGTGCTGGGCTGGGGTTCAACTCTTCTCTTCGTTCTCATTCTATAGCCTGGTGGCTTAGGACATGGGCTTTTGAGGCAAACACTCACAGATGTGGATCCTAACACATGAATTTGGCTAAGCAATGGAACTTTTGCATTTTCTTTCCGTCGACTCCTAAATGGGAATCGTAACTTTCATGTTCATAATGTTATTTGGGGGAGCAAATGGAATCACGAACAGAAAATGCTGAGGGCAGTGGCTGGCACAAAAATGCTCAATAAAATTCAGGTACTGATTTTTGTGAATAGCAAAAATGTTCTTATTATCAATGTACATTGTAACCCAGAGACCTAAGTGTTAGATTTGGGTATGTGGACTTTAGTCATTCTTAGCAGAACCTGTGAGTGGACTATCTAGAAAACCCCATGCTCTAACATAGTACCTCATTTAGAGAGAAAGGTGCATCAACTGTGTTTTCACGTTCAAAATATTTTTCCCACTTGGCCTTGAAGTAAACAGCATTCACCAGCACCAGTACGGTCGCATTGTTAATGATGCCCTTGCTGAAGAGTTCCTTGATTTTACCTTAAAAAGGAGAAAAGGGGGTTATTCCAGAGAATACTCTGACTATAAATTGTATCAAAAGTATTCATGTAGACAGATTTTTTTTTAATGCAGCTTAACCTCCCCAAGGCTAAGGGTGTCTCACATGAGAATGTCTCATTCAAGAACTAATTCAAGAAAATTAAACCAGAGTCCTGGGTGGGGTGGAAGCGAAGGTAAGGGTGGAAGTGGTGAGGGGAGGACCCGAGTCAGAGCACTGTAACTGAGGGAATTTCCCATGATTCTCCAAGGCCCTCTGGTTGGAACTTGTCATCAGATATCTTAAGCCCTGGTTTATCCTTCAAAGTATAGGTCCTGTCACCTGATTATATTATAATGCCCTTTAGGAAAACAACTATTGCATAACTTCCTGTCTCATGCACTCATCAGAGCAGAGTATATATGCTTACATATAAACACAAATGCATATAAAACCTATTTTATTGCAACTTTCACATGTCCTCTCTCATTCCATCCGATGAGAAGTAGGTGTTGTTACTCTTTCTTTATAGAAGAATAAACTATAGCCCATGAGAGGTGAGGCCACATAGCCATAAAGCAGAAACGCTGGCTGAGATCAGTCCTGAAACCTTCTTACTCTTCACTATCTCTAAGTCCCCCTCACTCAGAAACACCTACATATAAAAAGTTGATAAGAATAAGGATCTTATGAGTATTATTGCCGTGTCCCTCTGAATAACTATATTCCCTTCACAATCTTTTTACTAATCCTTTAAAAGAAATGGAAATAGTTTACATCCTGCTGGCATTGTGCTTGGCTGAAAGGCCCTTCACCTTTACCATGAAGCAAAGGAGTGACAATAAGTAAGCATTTTCACTGTTTGCCGAGTGCAAACGAAGCTTTGGACCCAGTCCACATATGTGAGCCTCTGGTCCCTGACAGACTAACAATCGGAAAAGCTGGGCTGACTTGTTTTCTTTCAAATAGAAAAGAATACCAGCTACAATGTCTTCGGTATTTCTTACCTTGGGATTGAGATTCAACCCAGAAATTAATCTCTTGCCTGGACTTTTCGGTGTCATTCCGGAAATCAACACTTTCAACTGTCGTGTGGTAAAACTGAATCACACCATCTAAGTATTCCTGTTAAATTAGAATAAATGGAAATAGTGCAATAAAATCATATAATTATGCTAATAGTTAGGAGTGAGGCAGTCATGAGAAGCCTAATGCGAAAGATATGCCCAGTCATTTAAACTGGGTACACGTCCTTCTCTATCCGTCCCCAGTCATAATTAGCCAGAGACACTTCCGTTCTTGTAGCGACAATTTAGGATATAGAATGCTTATTTATGGAGCAGATCATACTTATAATGACACAAGGCTTTCCTACAGATATCCTCTTACCTGGGCATTCCATTTGTGGAGACTCTACAAGATAAATATCAAGTACTTTGAGTGGCTTAGCTGTAAAATGCTTCTACTTTTAAGAATCAAAACGCTGCTTAATGAAAAAAACAAAAAACAAAAAAAAAACCCTACTTAACGGTTACAGAGTTTCTGTTTTGGGTGATGAAAATGTTTTAGAAATAGGGTAATGATTCCACAACATGGTGAATGTAATTAATGCCACTGAATTGTATACTTCAAATAATAATGTAATATACCCAAACCATTGATTTGTAGATTTTAATAGCTCAGTTGTATGACATGTTAATTTATATCTCACTAAAGCAAGTTAAAAAAAAAAACATAAAATTGCCTTTCCATTTTAAGAGAACTATTTATTTTGGTCAAAGTAGGCCACTCCCTCCCTTCTAGGCCATCCCTAACCAAGTGTATTGCACATTTACCACTGGTCACACCCCTCATGTTTAGTGTCATGTCTGTGGCTCCTTCTAGTGGTGACAGAGGACACTGAAGCCCAGATTCAGATGAATCGTCCTCTAGGCACAAAGCACTGTAGCCACAGTGACACATGCATTTTGATTCCAAATACCGTCAAAATGTATTTTGACTAAAACGCTACACCACGTCTTAAGTCTTAAGTGAGTACAATTTCTTTGGGGGCTGGCCTGATCATAGCACAAAAGGTGGTTTCTGGGCCACCATCCAAAGTGGGGATGGGGCTGGGGGCGAGGAGGGGTAACAGGAAGAGGGGCTACCAAGTACATCTACCAGGCACCTTGATTGGGAAAGATGTCACAAGAAAGAATGCCATTTTCAAACCGATGTGTGGTCCGAAGGCTATTAGTCACATGACCCTCTTTCCACCCACTCTATTCCACTCACAAGAAGCCTGGTAAACGGCTCACGTTGAAAACTGGGAGGAAGGCAACTGCAGGTGTGGGAGAGAAGGTGGGTCCCGGACGCTATCCTGTCGAAGGTGTTTGTGCTCTAGACGGCAGGTGAATCACCCAGCGACTCACCGAATTTAAAATAGTATGCTACGGGATAGCTCGAAACACCATTCGCGCCTACCTCACCTGACAGATTGGAAATTCCTGCTCTCCATAAAGCCGGTTAGCAATACTCAGGGTGTAATCAGCTTTGATGGTATCTAACTTGGAGAGAAGCTGCCCGAAGTAGCAACTGAGAAATCCAACATCATCGTTTGAAGACTCCACCTAACATAGGAAGAAAGAAAATGTGATCTTATCAGAGGAGTTCACCACCACCAAAGCAAGTTGTCGTTTCACCTTGTTACCCCGTGGGGGAGCGAGCCGAGAAGAAGAGAAGAATTGAAGAGTGCGCAGTGGTCCCGGGAGCAGACATGGCTCCGGCCCTGGTGTAAGAGCGTCCCGGGACGGGACCTCAGGGGTCTCCGCAATGCACGCTGTATTTTAGATCAGTGCTCCTCGTTTTTCTGTCTTCTAATGATAACGAAAGAGACAATCTTCCCTCCACCCTTCTCTTACATGTCTAAAGTAGGGGGATTGATAACCTGAAGAATACCTCTCCTGCTCCCAGTATGAGGCAACTGAGGAAAGCTGTGTGTGTTAGTACAGATTTCAGCAGGGACTAAAGCAGGTGAAAGTGGAGGGAGGGAGAGAGAGTAAGGATTCCGCAGCAGATCCTTCCCCCTTACTGCCCTTCATCCTCAACCATGCTTCATCCTGGGGACCTGTAGCCTGTAAAAGTAGGTCAGTCATGAAGCTTCGAGCTAAGTTTCTTTATCATGAGCAGAAGGTACTAGTTCCCACTCTTTAAGAAACTTAGCTTACAGCCAAGAACGTATAAGACACACAATCAGAAAGGAAGTGGGGTCATCTGGGGTTATTGCTGTCGATGACAGCCAGGACCTCATGTTTGGGGATAAGCAACCGTCAGCAGATGTCGGACTGCCAGGATGAGCAGTGTGTCAGCAGGCGGGGCAGGAGTTCATGGTGGCTCACCTGCAGAGTCAGAGGCTCTGTCGTTCCTTTCTGCCCTCCCGGAGAGCTGTCATCCAGCACTTTCTGTTGTTTGTACTTCAGACAGGGATCAGGTTCTTCGCTTTTATTCTGGGAAAATTCACTGAAGTGTAGTACCTGCGTGGTGATGGTACAGGGTCTTTCAAACAATATGAACAGCACGAAGTTGGAATAGCTTCAAAAACATGTTTATAATGTGGCAATGACAATGATTATGCAGTATAAAAACAATCGACAGCAGTTTGAAGGAAAGTGGACGTTTCTTTTGACTTGGGTTGTGAAGTGGAATGGCGGGGAAGGACACTGACTGCTCCCGCCCCACCCCTTTGGGACAGCCTGTAAGAATGAATGTAACCAAACTCAGAGAACATCAGGTGTCCACCAGCCACATGGGACTACGGAGCCAGTGTAACTGGATTTTGAAGGCTTAGTATGAAAAACAAAAAGAAATTAAAATATCTCATTTACATTTTTTATTGTAATTGGGTTAAATAAATTATTAAAATTAATCTCACCTATTTCTTTTTACATTCTTAGTATACCTATTAAAGATTTTTTTTAATTACATACATGGCTCAAGTTATACTTGTGTTAGACAGTGATGATCTAGAACTTCAAAGCGATCAAGTGGGTGAGGACAGCAAGACAATTTATCCAGAGCATTGCCAAAAGGTAGGCAATGACTTGCACTGCTCAGGGTAGGTTTGCTGGCAGGTGACAGGTGTCCTGGAGAAAGAACATCTGAAACCTGACCTGGAGGACACCAGCCACACTCTAATGCTAAGTGTTGCTAATGGAATAATATAACAAATCAAAGCAAATGAATAAAGTTGAGTGAGCCTGAACACATTGTGCCTTAATCCAAGAATTCAGTCCTCTATACCAGGGACAACAGCCATGTTCCTACATAACCCCTGTGCTATGTGCTAGATCCAGAGATGTATGAGACCAACCTCAAGAGCCTTTGGTTTATTTGGAGAGTTGTTCTTGTCGCTTTCATTCATTCATTCTACAGATTGGTATTGGGTGGCTACTATAAACCAAGCACTGTTCTAGGACAATGATTCCTGCCCTCTAGGAGATTACATTCTAGTGGGGGAGGCATACAAAAAGTAATGCACATAGTAAGTAATTACAGTATGCAGTATGTCAGAAGATGGAAAATGCCATGTGGGGGGAAAGGAGCTAGCATAAGAGGGAATCTTTGGGAGTTGGAGGCCAGGATGCAGCATTAGATTGAGCGGTCAAGGTAGATAAGCTGATCAAAGTCCGGAAGGAGAAAAGGAAGTTATAGATCATTTATCTGAAGGAGGATCCATCAGCAAACGGGATGGAGGCAGGGCCCTGAGGCAGAAGTGGGCATGTCTTTCCCAAGGAAGCTAGGCGGCCAGTGTGGCTGGGGCTGGAGACAGGGAGGAGGGAGAATGGTGAGAGATGGAGTCACCGGGTTATCTGGCACTCAGATCCCAACTTTCATGGGCCATTGTAAGGACTCGGGCTTCCATCATGAGCGAAATGGGAGATCTGGGCTTTGAGCAGATGAGAAGCAAGATCTGACTTAAGTTTTGCAAAGATCCTTCTGGCATCTGAGTGGAGAACACTGTCAGTGGAAGCATGGAAGCCCACAAGGAAGTTGAATCCAGGAAAGAAGAGATGTTGGTGGGAAGTACCTGGGTTCTGGATATATTTCAAAAGGAAAGCCAATAGACTTTTGGAGAGAGAGAGAGAGAGAGAGAGAGAGAGAGAGAGAGAGCGCTCCAGGGTCTTTAGCAACTGGATACATAAGTGGTGCTTACTAAATATTTACTTAATGGAACGAGGGAAAGACAAAACGCACACGTGCATTAACAATAACTGGAAATCTTGGTATATAATTATATAGAGAAAAAGCAAGACATGCAGACAGGCACTGACAGAGAAGGCAAATGAAAAAAGCTGTCCAACTGGTGAGGCTGGAGAGGTATCATAAAGGAGATAGAGGATTAATTGAGCTTTGAAGAATGGTGGGCCTGAAGAGAAAGCGAGGCAAGGATGTAAATAAAGGTTCCAGCAAGGCCAGGGTGCAGTGAGCATTGTGTCTTGCCAAAGCAGGATTAGGTCTGATTATGGTGTGACTTTGGCAGTGGACCAGCACCTGGTCGATCTGACGTGCACTGTCACCTCTGGCCCCCAGATGGACCATGCCGAGGGCAGCTGAGAGGCTCAGAGGACAGAAGAAGATGTTTTTATGACCATCTTTTTTGCTTATCTCTTGGAAAAGATCGAGGCAAAATTTGGTGTTTGCCGCAATGAGAGAATCCATCGCGAAACTGATGAGAGTCTAAAGCCAAAAAGAGAGAAAACGATGATCAGAGAAAAACAGGTAAACAGACAGTTCTCATTTTAAATACCCAGGATATAATCAAATGTAATTATTCAGTATGTTATTAAATACTGGAAAATAAGGTCACCATCATCCTGATATATTGATATTGATGTTGCTATGGATATTGATACAGACAGAGATCTATTTTTATTTAGTGGTGTGAATTAGTTTGCTAGGGCCACCATAACAAATTACCACAAAACAGGTGGATTAAACCATGGAAATTTATTCTCCCTCAGTTCTGGAGGCCAGATGTCCAAAATCAAGGTGTTGGCAGGATTGGTTCATTCTGAAAACTGTGGGCAAAAATCTCCCACCTTCTGGTGGTGGCCCACAATCCTTGGCATTCCTTGGTTTGTAGAGGCATCACTCTACTCTCTGCCTCTTTCATCACATGGCGTTCTTCCCTGTGTTTTCTGTATATGTGTCAAAACTTCCTTTTTCTTGTAAGGACACTAGTCATTGGAATATGGCCCACGCTAGTCCAGTAGTTTGACCTCATCTTAACTTGATTGCATCTGAAAAAACCCTATTCCCAAATAAGGTCACAATCATAGCTACTGGGGATTAGGACTTAAACATATCTTTTTGGGAGTACAATTCTACCCGCTTCGTGGTAGAACTTCCTTTATTCAGGTAAAATAAAGTCACAGTCTACTATGTCCTCATGGTCAAGTTAGCAACCAAGAAAACTTCATTCCACTTCCTTCGTCTCCACAGGCTATATCCCTGGTTCTACTTAAGACATTTGCTTGTACATGCCCCTCAGTGTTCTAGGACAGAATATATGCCCCGCAAATTCTCATGGTTTGTGTCCTTTTTTAACATTCTCATCTCTTGTTGACTCATTCCATTTGAAACTTACAGGACTTGAGGCACTTCAGTCATCAATATTGTTCAAGAGATAATAGATCTTGAAAGATATTGGGGGTTTAGAAGCCATTAGGTTCAACACCTTCTCTTGACAATATAGAACCATAGGTAATACAGAACCAAGGTAAAGGAATGGCTTCCCTTAGGACAGATTTCTTGTTCCCCTCCCCAACCCAATAATCGATTCCAGAAGTATCAAGACAATCTGATGTAGACCTCACCTTGGACCTAACTCTCTTAAACAAAACGTCTTTTATTTTGCTTTTTTGCTTATGGATACTGTGTATTTCCAAGATGGAAATGTAAGCCCCCTTATATTTCTGTTTTTATCATCAGACACATGACACATACTAAGCATTAAGAAGTAGTGACTGCATTGAATTGAATCATGTACATTGGTTTTAACATCTTTCCACTTTAAAAGAGGCTTTTTTAGCCTATCAAACCTAATTTTAAATGATAACATTAGTAACATTTTAAAGATGTGCCAGATGTAACTTTCCATCTACATTGGAAAACACCTTCCACACAAAGAGGGTGCTGTTTGGCTAAGTCTAAAGGCTGGTGGCTGAAATAGGCTGCCTCTTACTAAGCTACAACTTAAAAAACTTGTACATAATTTACTTCAGTAATCATTATTTTTCAACAGACTTGAAATAACCTTTTAAAATAATAAGGTCCCTCATAAATCTATTCAGCACAAGGAATCAATACTACCTCTCCTCCCCATAATGACTTTATAATAATAGTTGCTATTTCATTGGTGCCTACCATGTGCCTGGCATTTCACAAATATTGTCTCCAATTCTCAAACAATTCTATAAATCAGAAATTATCTTCATTTTACATCCAACTATTACGTGGAACAGCTGGTACACAAATCAATCAATTCAGTCTGATTTCAAAGCCCCCCTTTTTCCTCCTATGCCCCGCTGCCATTTGGGGCAGATAACACTTGTGCTCCAAAAGGACGTGTCCCCAGTGATCCATCCCATATCTCTATGACAGGAAGATGTCTCCAGCAGGCACATGTTTTACTCATGTCTCTGACTAATGGCCATGGGCTGTAGAAAGGAGCTCCCAGCACCGAATGTCCACCAGGGCTGCTCTAAACGGCCTCTCTGCCCAACGACATCTCAGCCTTCAGTCTGTTCTTCCAGGGCTCCTGTGATTACATGGCGGGGGCAGGGTGGGGAGAGCGTCTCCAGATTGAGACTTTCTTGAAAATCTTTCAATTGCATTGAAATCGATGAAAATGTACCATAAATATAGATTGGAATTTCAAAACTGTAAACACCTAATCACAAATTGGGACTGACTTACATAATTTCGTATTTACAGTCCCCAAGATCACCGCCTACCACCCATAGCTGAGAGGTGCTAATGGACAACTTTTGTTCAAAAACAGAGAGAAAAATACCCACTTGGATATCGATAAAAATATTATATTTTTGCCTATAATACTTTCCAAGTGGTTTCTTGTTCAATCTCAAGTATAGTGACTAAAATATGAGTTATTTTATTGTGACAATTAAAAGTTCATACTAGATAGATTTTGTAACATCCCAGACTATTCTAAGTGTAATTGTTCTTTACTATACAGTAGGGGGAAAACTAATATACCAAAAATATTTCATGTCTCATAATGTCCATAATTTTCACAAAGTTATTAACAACCTAAGAATGAAATTTCGACTTTACATAGGTAGATACTGTTCTGCTGAAATCAAAATTCAAACCCGTTATAACTAATTAAATCATGAGAAATATCTAAAAACAAAGAAATACTTGTGAAAGAGGCAATCCAAAGCATTTTCAATGTAAGTTGCAAAAGAGAAATGTAAATTTCATATTATTTAAAATACAAATATTCTAAATATTGTACCATTTTATATTTCAGAAATTAGTAGAAAGATGATATACAATCTTTCAAGCACATTAAGATTTTTTTAATTATTCAAACATCCACATTTTTAAGAATTCAATCTGATAAATCTGATATCTGACCAGGTGCTTGAGGTGACAGATATTACTAGTATTTCCTAGCAGATATTGCCACATTTACAAAAAAATTCAAAACATTGTAAGACAAATTGCTTGTTTCAAAAAGACATTTGACTAAATAAAAATGGCATACCTTTTGGTTTCAATCAAACCTACTTTGGGTTTCTATTATTTAAAATAATTTCCCAATGCAGTGGTCATTGTTAAAGATGATATTAGGCAATTTACCTTCTTGCCTTCTGAGTCGCTGCTAACAGCTGGCCAGGTAAGTTTCAATCCACACCCTGTCAGGAATGGAAATACATGAACTTCGCCCCTCCCACAGTGGTACTTTTCCAAGTGCTATATTGGAAGCCAGGGTCAAATTATTATTGATTGATTAAAGGGGGGGGAAAGATAAGGGATGTGTGGCATATATATTTTTAAACAAATACTCACGCTCTATGCTTAAATTAAATAATTAACTTACTATGTTTATATTTCCTTTGCTTTTTCCAATTGGGTCTCTTCATAGAGCCCTCATAACAATATTTGACCTAAATTCCTATTCTAGATACAGAGAGAAGCAGAGCACTGTTTTACTTCATATGCCATTGTCTTGGACATTCTCTTATACTTGAATTTCTATATTATTCTAAACTTTTTGTTAACTTACTACATAAGACTTACAAAATGAGCTTTAAGCCAATTTCAAAATTGTGAGTTTTGTTGTTGTTGTTTTTCTCCAGCAGCAGCCTTGGGGTACAGGTGGGGATTACTATTTAATGTATTGACTAGAATAACTGAATACCAATCAGAGGATAGAAATTATCAAGACATACTGACAGAGAGACAGAGACAGGAAGGAAAAGAATTTCTAGAAGAGAACTAACTTGCTAGGAACCAGAGAACTAATCAACTCTGTACCAATATATCCAGAAAGTCTGCCCAATTTAGCTTTCTGTGCTATGTGACCTGCTCATCTATTTATCTGATTTATTTCCTCAAGAGACACCTCCACTTCCTTCCTTTCTTTTCCTTCCTTCCTTTCCTTTCCTTCCTTCTTTCCTTTCTTTCTTTTTTGCTTATCAGGCTTCTGATAAAGATTTCATGGGACAAATATATTACACAACTGCAACAAATAGAAGTTTTAAAACTGAGCCAAATTATCTTTGATGTTCGTTTTACTGCTTACATTCTACAATCCTGATTTGTTGTTGATTAAAAACATGGTGGGACGCGGGGGGAGTCAGTGAATGTCGACATGGAGGCTATAATGGAAGAGCATTAAGAAGAGTAAAAACGCTGGAAATCGACATGGTTTGAGGAGAGTGTAAGGATTCCTCTCTGGTTTGGCTCCCTTTTTTTACCCATTTACCTCTTTTTCTAACTTCTTGTCAGACAACATTATCTCAGCTCCAGCCCCACACACGATTATATTAGACATAGGGAAATTCAAAAGAAAACTTTTTAAAGTGGGATATTGCTTTTATGGGGACTACAAACTACTTATATATACTATACATATGCAAATATGTTTACTTAGATGGAGGACATAAGTGCATATGCAGCTGGTGTATACATGAAACAAGTATAACCATTTTTATAAGGTAAGATGTCAGCCAGTGAAAATTAGAAGCTGAGCATCCAGAGGTCTCTCAATTCTCAATAGTGAGCACAGAAAACAAATATGCTGTTAATTTTCTTCACCTCACTTTTTCATTTGACAATGCTTGCACGAAATTTCAAAAGCTATTGTTTTTCGGTTGAGTCTGGTCATTGGTCATGATTTATAAGAGGTGGGAAAATTTTAACATCTGAATCACTTCATGCTTCATGCCAGTTGACCAATAACTACTTCATGGGGTTGCTGTCCAGCATCACCTTTCAAAAATGATACTAGCTACATTCAAAGCAGAATGAATCATTGCCTGGTTCCCCGGATTTCTGGCTGCCACATTTGTCCATTGTTGGCTGACAATAGTCACAGTGTGTTGGGTTTCTGAGTGCCTGAGCAGAGTCAAAGCTTGTTTGGATATCTTTAATCTAGGGTTGCATCTGTTTATCCTCTTGTTTATCCTCCCGAATAATCCAACAAAGCTCTGACTACAGATGACTGCGCCCTGCAAGCCTAAAACTCTGGGTGGTGTGATTGTTCAATCATTAATGATGAAATCTACCACTAAATGTAGCTAAATATTAAAATAACTTGCTCAATCACTACAGAGGTCCTGAGGGGAGCACTTACTGGGTGCCAAGCTCCATTTGGTCTTTACCTACAGATTCTCATTTGAGTGCCTGACAAAAGTCAGTCTCTCTAATGTCAGGGACCGGACCGAAAGCACCAGATAATTATACTAGAGTTGGAGGGAATTGGGGAGGTCAATGAATCTGATAGTGTTACTCAAGGCAGGCTAAAAAGTTTTTCCACGTCAACAGGCTGTAAAAATAAGGTTTCATCAAGTGTAAGAGTTAGACGACTCCTCCTAGATATGTTACAACTCCTCATGAGTTATGAGTCAGTCATTTAACCCATGAGTAACTCATCTTTTTCTGCCTTGAATTTAAAAAATTATTTCTGCCAGGATGAGTCACTGGCCTAAGTCTTTGCCAGCCTGTAATGCAAAACAATATGATTAAAATTCTCCTTTGTGGTAAAGGCAGCATTTCTGAGATACTGTAAAGAGGCTCCTTTTCATCTAATTTTACATGATAATACCAAAGAAACAAAATGTGTTTATGGGGGAAATGTCAGCACAGACACATATGAGCTAATAAAAAATGTATCTTTTATCTGAAGTAAACCGTTGGTTGACCTGACATTCACCATTTTATCCAAACTTAGAAGCTTTGGTAACAACATATGAAATCCAAAAAAAGAAAAAATCCATTAAAAGAACAAAAATCAGCAATAATAAATACTAAAACACAATAAACTTCTTTGAAAACTTGCAATCACCCTTAAGGTAGCAGTTACCCTTTTCATAAAAGCCCTCAATTCTCTCAGATCCAAAACCAAAGCCTCCAGGATTGGAAGCAATGCCAACTGCCTACCTCAATGTGACTAAGACACAGAGACCAAGGACAGGCATAGCTATGAGGTGGCAACGAAGACATTGCAGAAAACGCAGTACGTTTGCAGTCAGAGGACCCAGATCCTGGTATGAATCATACTAGCCTGAGACCGGGAGCAAATTCCTCCTGAACTTAAATTTTCTCACCTATGTTCACTGAAGCATTATTCAGAGTGGCCAACACATGAAAACAACTAAAGTGTCCTTCAATAGAAGATTGGATAAAGAAGATGTGGTACATGTGTACAATGGAATATTACTCGGCCATAAGAAAAGATGAAATACTGCCATTTGTGACAACATGGATGGATCTTGAGATTATCATGCTAAGCGAAAGAAGTCAGACAGATAATGCCAAGAACCACATTATTTCACTCACATGTGGGATATAAAACAGAAAGCAACAAACAAACAAGACAAGCAAGCAAACAAAAACTCATAGACACAGACAACAGTTTAGTGGTTACTAGAGGGGAAGAGAAGAGGGGATGGTAAAAGAGGGTAAAAGGGGTTAAATACATGGTGATGGAAGGAGAACTGATTCTGGGTGCTGAACATACAATGCAACATATAGATGATGTATTATAGAATTGTACAGTTGAAACCTATGTAATTTTACTAACCATCATCACCCCAATAAATTTAGTAAACATTTAAAAATAGGAATAATAATATATTGGGTTGTCAGAAAAGTCATGATGTTTTTTTCTATGTTTTTCATTGCAAAAATGCATCATGACTTTTCCGACAACCCAATAGATTTTCTTGCTCTGATGTGTTATACAAATGTTAGTATTGTTATTGTAATTTCATAGAATTAGTATTGCATAACCTTCTTTTTATTTCTTAGCCAAATCTCTATGACATATATTTGTTTCTCCTATAATTGTAGACCAGGGCTTTATACTTCAAATCATTGTTCGCAAACTATAGTCTACGGGCCAAATCTGAACCAATGCTTGTTTTGTAAACAGAGTTTTGTTGATACACAGCCATGCCCATTTGTTTACTACTGTCTTTGGGTGCTTTCGCTCTGCAATGGCAGAGTTGAGTAGTTGCAAAGAAGCCACGTGGCCTGCAAAGCCCAAAATATTTACTATCTTGTCCTTTACTGAAAACTTTATTGATCCTTGCTTTAAATGAAACATAATAATATTTAAAGCCTATGAAGTATTTACACCCTTAGACATATAACTTCTCCACTCATAGAACAAAAGTTAAAATACAGATAAGAAATAGTTTCTTAATTTAAAAGTATGTGTTTTGGTTTGATCTTAACCACAGACAAAATTCTAAGGCCCTTGAGTACTGTAAGAAAATCATAGCCCAGGCATTCATTCGGCGACTCCTGAGTGCCTACTATGTGTCAGGCACTGGGGATACAATGAACAAGAGTGAGATTGTCCCTGCATTCATGACACTTAGTGCAAGAAGAGCTTACAACCCAGACTGTGTTACCTGCATCTAGATATAATAAACATTTATGGTGGGCCTAACACATAACAGGCCCTTCTGCACCCATTAGCTCATTCAGTCCTCCCAATAAGTCAGAGAGAGGCCATTATTACCCCAATATGACAAATAAGAAAACTAGGACTCAGACAAGTTCAGTTGCTCAGTCAGGATGCTAGATAAGAGCAAAACGATGACTTTCCACCTCCCAAGAATAGATCTCTATAACACATAACAGCTTCAATCCCAGAACAACTGACCCCCAAAGGCACCTCCACCAACGACAGCTTGTCAACCTCCCAGCACATACCTGGAAGCAGTACGGACGGTCCCCAGCTAAGGTGTGTGCTCTGATGAAGTCAGTCCGATATCACGTAGAGGAGGAAACAGGTATTGAGCAAGAAATTCTGTGACTTTTAAATAATGACCATGAATCAGCAATTAACCTATAAGATGGAGAAAAAAGACATATATTTATGGTCACTAACACAATGCATTTTAAATTACAGTAATGATCTCTGTCTGCAGTATTGCTCCTTTAGACTAGAATATTCTAAGACAACCTCTCTTCACAAGCTATCCCACAGCCTGCTTGTAAAGCAGGTTACAGAGGAAGCTTTATAAAAGGCTGCTAGAAAGGCCCAGATTTCCTATCACTGTCCCTGATCCCCCCTAAACAACTTACGAAACCCTCTCAGCCTGTGAAATCTCATGAGTCATCATTTGTAGATGAAATACACAAAACCCAAGAGGATTTACTGTCCTAGCACATCCCAGTCCACTCCCTGCAAATGGGTTCAGTGGTGACAGAACTCTATGGTCTGAGCCAAGTGTGAAGCAAAGTCAAGTGTCACCAAGAAAGGAGGAGGCAGGGATTGCAAACTATTGTCCTTGTGTCTCTGTTACCTACTCAATCATGGCTACAACTCCACGGCTTCTAGAACAATTTACTGAGCATCCTCACCAGTTAGTATTTTTTCTTCTGGCATCTCAGACAAAACCTAACAAATGAACACATTCTCTCCCCTCTTTCCCTATCTCCTTGGTTCCTTCTTGTTATCTCTGTCTTCCTCATCTCCTCATTTCCTATCATGCAGTCCCACCCTATCCCATTCCCCGTCTCTCTCTCACTTTGAGATATTTCAGAGGAATTCATTCACCTGCAAAACTCATGAGCTATTGCTTCATCACGTCATAACACTGGCTCCTTTTCATAACACCGGTTCATATTTTGTAAGGAAAATAACACATCCTTGGAGGATTTTTGAGATGTTTAGAGGTCATTTATTAAGAGTTTATTTTGGAGCCTTACCACAAAGCTATGCCATTGAATTTCCACAAAAAGTTGCTCCCTCTTCATATAATTTCATGACAGTACACTCAATATTCTGGGGAAACCCATCCTGGGCTTCATGACTGAGTGACAATCATAATTTGAGGAGAACATACCATCAGTAATTATATTAAAAATGAAGACTTTCCCCACTAGAAAAGAAAAGCCTAGAGTTCTACATAATATTATAGTTGTGACCTCCTAACCTATAAAACAGACAGTCAGAGAACCTAAAGGAACTTAAAGTAGCATATAACTTGCAGCTATGAAACTGGTTTTCTATAAGTCAGATTTAACCCATAGAAAAATAACTGAGAATTAACTGCAAAAACAATGAAAATTTTGAATTAGGGAGATGGTTGGGAATTTGAGGTAGTAGACTATAAAATAATTTTTAAATACTACATGTCATTTGGGAAAATTAAAGCTATTTAGTAATATAAATGAAAAATAAAACTAATTACAAGCCCATCAAAATTCACAATTTCCTTTTTTTACAATACACTCTATTTTTACATCACGGAGCTCACACTACATTTGTACTTTTGGGTCCTGCTCTTTTTAATACTTCAACCTAAATATTTCTCCATATTTTAAAATTCTGTTCCTAAAGATTACTTCTAATGACTATGTGAATGTGCCATAAACTACTCATCTATCCCCTTATTAATAAATATTTAGGTGGTTTCCAATTTATATAAATGATGCCATTAAGAATCTTTGTGTTTAGCCTTTTTAGCTGAATCTCAGATGGTCTCCTGAGCACAGATATCTAGGTGCTGAATTAATGGATAAAATGTATGAACATTTTTATGCTCGACTACATCATGTCAAATGTACTCCAGAGAAATTCTACCAGTAGTGCATAGAAGGGGCTGCCTTTCCAACTGTTATTTACTGACCAGTTTTTCCTCTCCTAAAACATGGTCATTAATCCTCTCTCCTCACAAAGGTCCCTGAGAGAGGAATGAAAAAGATCAGCATTCTTTACAAGTCCTGTAACATAAATCACTACTTTGCACAAATAAACAAGTGACTACTTAGACCTTCTATGACTTTTTTTCAAGTCAAGTTTTACACATCCTTCAATGAGTGCCCTACCACGGGGTTGGGACAGGGTGTGACCACCTAATTTTCTGAGTTTTCTTAAGAGAACACCAAAGACAAGTTGCACCTACTTTTCTTGTATTTTTCCCTGTGGCTCTTTCATCCTGTTGCAATTCTCTATTTGCGGGCATCAAGTTTATCCAGTGGCACCCAGCAACGACTTACATAGGCTATGCCATTGCGAAACTTAGAAGACTAGCCTCAAACACTTCATTTATCTGTTATGTCAGTGCACAAAATTAGGCTAAAAAAAAAAACTGGCGCATATGGAGGTTATTCACGTGGCAAGTTCCCCTGGTTACTGCCCAGCTGATTGTCCCTTCGACCACGAGGGTTTCTAGGAAAGCAATCACTCTACCACCATCTGTCTCTCAGTGAGTTTGGGGAATAGAACTCACTTTAGGAAAACCCTGCATCAGACATCGGTGTGAGTAACCAAATAGAATGATAGGCTTTACAGGTGTTTTACTTGAAAGTGGAGAGTGGGGGGCCTGGTGAGAGAAGAGAAAAGATGGTGAGGACAGATATTAGTTTCTTGACACAGCCAGGCAAGAAAACAAAGTCTTTGCATCCTTGCACATCCCTTTCTGCAGCCCCTCTATCTTCCCACAGCCTAGAATGCCTCTCTCTCTCCCTACTTCGGGAGATGATAGTGATAAAAATATTGTGACACGCAGCGGACACCTACTGTTCCCTCGGCTTTGTTGAAGAGGTGTGAAGATTTTGTGCATCTTTTTTTTTCTTTTAGCAAATAGATTTTTTTCTTTTTAGAGCATTTTTAGGTCTACTGAAAAATTGCACAGGAAGTAGGAGAGGATACTTTGTTTCACACCTCTTTCTCCACTCTGATTGGGTCTTTGGAACGGCCTTGGCAATGGCTGGTGAGGACAAGTACTTGAGACGTTGAGAAGGGGCCGTGGTCACAAGGAAGAAACAAGGCTAGGAGAGAGGAGACCCTGGGAAATGTGGGATCTTGGTTCTCTTTTCCTCATAGAGAGAGCAGCTGGTCATCCCAGCCATCCTGGGTGGGTGTCCATAGTTTAAACCCCGGCCAGAAATACAGGGGAAATTTTCAAGGAGAATCCATTCTTATGAAATGTAATTCAGTTACCCTATTGAGGGAAGAGTAAAGAACTAGGTGCCAAGTCAGGGAATTTGCCTCATTTTATTCATCTCAAGTGATCTTCCTTGTTTCTGATAGTGTGAGGTCCACGGGCAACATCGAGTAAACGTGAGGGCACATGGTTAGGCATAAAACCCCAAGAACATAAAACACATGTATTAGTTCAGAATAATAAATGTGCTCTAATGTAAGGAAAGCATGAGGATATTTGTAGGAAATCTTTTTCTTCACTGTACAGCATTGGCCTCGTCAGTAACTTTTACTGAGTCTGGTTTTTCACCAAAACTTACTGAGTCTTTGGGTTTCTTCAAAACCAGATAATAAAAGCAAAACAAAACAAAATGTACACAGTTACATGTCAACTCCAAGTTTTGGCGCCACAAACAAAAGGGGACTAACAGTGGAATTTAGAGTGGCCAAGAAGAGGGCCACGAACCGAAGTTGGGGACAAAAGGGTCAGGGACGGCCATAGCTCTCTGTTTTGCCCATGATTTAATGAGAGCCTGGACCAATGGCTTTTCTGAAGCCAAGATGTATTCATTCTCTGCTCCCTAAATGAAGAAATCTTATCACAATAAGACATTAGATTCTTTTGGAACCAATTCTTTCTTTTCCAATCACTTTGTTGAGGTATGACTGACATACAAAAGAGCTGTGCATATTTAATGTGAAGAGCATGATGAAATAAGTTGCATGGAGATATGTATACACCCATAAAACCATCACCACGATCTGTGCCACGAATGTCTATCACCTCCAAAAGCTTACCCCCCCCACACCCTCTTTATGTGTTAGGCCTGACTTGTTCTTAGAGAACTCCTGGTGGCTCAGTGGCCCACCACTTTCTTTCCAGAAGGCAAACAAACTATAATGTTTCTCTGAGAATGTATTTCAGCCTCATTCTTCTCTCATTTCTTCAAGCTTTACTTCATGCTGAAATTAGATTTCTGGGACTTTTTCTTACAAGCTTGTACAGCATTCAGTTTGGGTTATATGAGCTGCCTTTTGTCTATTGCACATGGTGCTTTAAAAGCTGAGCTGATGAGCAGGCCCTTTTGTAGCTGTCCATGTTTTGTTACATATTGTGCTCGTTTTCTTTTCATCAGATTTCCTGGTTATTATGGAGTCAGAATTTTATTTTTAGTCCTCTTGAGCCATAATCCCTTTTAATGTCTCGAAGCAAAGGATAATTCTTTTTAAGTTTTTTTTATATGTACTTAGAAAGTCTAAGATACTTACTTCAATAGTTCTTGCATTCCTCACCTTTGAACTTTAACCTTTGTCCTCACATTCCCAGGGCTTCCATAGTACCAATTAGATAATTTCTTATTAATTAAAATTAAACCCAGAGTACTGATGCTCCTTTCATCCATTTATTTATTACATTAACATTAAGTCATTGCTATGTCCTAGCAATGGTAACATTAAGATTTGTCCCTTAAAGAGTTTATATACCTAAAAGATTATGTATCCTCAGGAACAATAAAAAAATATATATCTTGTCCCAGCAGCACTCTGCTGATTAACCATTCTTTCCCCCATTGAATTGTCTTGAAACCTTGTCAGAAATCAATTGACCATAAATATAAGAGTTTATTTCTGGATTCTTAATTCAGTTCCATTGATCTATATGTCTATTGTCATGTTGGTACATCACTGTCTTGATTGCACATAAAAAAGAATAAAATCGGACATTGCCTGACACCATACTCAAAAATAATCTCAAAATTCATCGAAGGCCTAAGCGTAAGGGTTAAAACTAAAATATTCTTATAAGAAAACATAGAAGTAAATATTTGTGACCTTGAGTTAGGCAATGGTTTCATAGATATGACTCTTAAATACAGCACCAAAAGAAAAAAAAATAGCTAAATTGGAATTCA